CGGTCTCAGCCCAGGGCACCCTGGGGTGACTCCGTGCCCTCCAGGGGCTGCCCCGCCATCTCAGCTCCCAGAAAGGCAGGTGGATCTTGGGAACCCATGGCCGTCGATGCCATTCTTCGTCCTTAAAAAGATAAGTTTGTACAGTGGATCAGTCTCAGCCCGCGGAGCCTGAGCCGAGGAGTCGTCTGGGGAGGAGAAGGCACTTCTCCCACTCCTGGGTGAGCTGGGCGGCTGCCCCGGGCCGTGGGCTCCAGCTCCCTCCGGCCCGGACTCCCGTTGCTCCTCTGGGGAGGGGCTGCTTCTGTGGTTGGCGCCGGCCTGCAGGCCCCGGCTCCTCACAGGGTGGTACACGGCAGCTTCCTCACCCGCCGCTGGGCCAGGATGGAGGACTCGATGGGCTTCAGCTGCGGGGTGGGCTTGGAGCTGTTGAGTGCCGAGTAGGTGGCCGCCATGGCTCCCTGACAGAGAAGGAGTTCCGCTCATGATGGGGGAGATGGGGAGGTGACATGTCCCAGGGCCAGGCCGGCCCCCCCAGTGTTCTGAGCCCGCCCACTGCAGTCCAGGCCTGGGCCACCGATCCTGCCTCCCCACGGACTGGAGGCCTCAGAGGTCAGCAGCTGGTCCCCCAGGGGCTGGGGCCCACAGTGACCGTGACACCGCTGCACACTAGGCCGGGGCCATCTCTGCCCCAGCTCATGGTGCCTGGCACAGCATGGCCTCCCAGTTCAGCCTCCCCCTCCCCGCCCATGCCACTCTCCCGTCCCTGCCAAACCGGCGGCTGGGGTGGCCGAACCTTCACGAGCTGCAGGTCCTGGTGGGACAGCTGGCTCTGGGGAAGCTTGTCTTTCTGGGTGATCCACGGGTGCTGCAGGACCTGCTTAGCTGTGAGGCGCTGGTGGGGGTCCACGTGCAGCATCTTGGACACCAGGTCCTGGAACCGCGACAGACAAGGGGTGAGGAGGAAAGGGGCAGTGGGGCAGCAGGCGCTGGGGCTGACAGGGACGGCCAGTGACCATCTCCTGCCACAACCTGCCACAGCCCTGCGCTCTACTCTCCGCGCTGCCCCTGCACAGCCGGGATCCCTCTCGGGGCCTTCGCTCGAGGCGCTTCTCCAGCGACCTCGCCCTTTCTCCTTCTATGAAAAGCCACGCAGGAGGTGGGAAGGGCCTGAGGTTCAGGGTCACGCAGACCGACTTTTCCACTGAGCAACCAAGTGTCCTGGCCTGTTCACTCCACAGCCCTCTTCCCCCGCAGGGCCCCGGACACGGGAAGGGCCTGTGCATGATCACTCCGTTAGCCAGACGAGGTGGGCAGCCAGCCTGGAACCTTCCACCGGAGAAGGGAGGCTGCAGGACCCTGACCAGGGGGTGCGGGAAGCCCCGGGAAGCCCTGGGACGGGCCCTGCCTCCCCTCGCACTGACCTTGGCTGTCTCGGAGACCGTGTTCCAGTTCCCCCCGCTGAGGGTGAACTTCCCGCTGCCAATCCGGGTCAGGATTTCCTCTGGCGTGTCGCTGGGCCCGTTGGCGAATGGAGTGTACCTGGAGAAAGCCCCCAGTCTGCGTACCGCCTCTGGCTCCATCCTGGCCATGGTGGGCCGGGAGGACGCACCTCCCCCAGACGGGGTGCTCCAAGCTGGAGCTCCCCTAGGGCCACGTCCGCCCACCCGCCCGCACACTGGGGCTGGGGGGGTCCAGGCCAGGGCAGCCACCCAGCCAGCATGGTGTACAGCAGGACACCCAGGCTCCAGATGTCACAGCCTTCGTCATAGCCCTGACGCTTCAGCACCTGGAAGGACATAGGAGGGGCCAGCCTGAGGGGCAGACCCTTGTCCTGCTCCTCCTCCGAATGGCAGGACTAGGGGCCCTCCGAATGGCGGTCTGCGGTGCCCAGCCACAGGCTGGATCTTCCCTGAGAACCCGGGCATGGCCACGTTTGCTGGAGCCCCCGTGGGTGGGCCCTCTGGGAGGGGTTCGAGGCCTCCCACTCACCCGCTCCGGCGCCCGAGGAGGCCAGGCCACTCACCTCCGGTGCCACGAAGTTGGCGGTGTAGCATGGCGTCATGAGAAGGCCGTTCTCGGCCCGCAGCTGCTTGGCGAAGCCGAAGTCACAGATGCGCAGGCACTCGGGGTTGCCCGACTCGTCCACGTACAGGATGTTGCTGGGCTTCAGGTCCCTGTGCACCACCTAGGGCAGACGGCCGGCTCAGTCCCGGACCAGGTTGCCATGGCCCAGGCCAGCTGCCGGGGAGGTCACGAAGACTGGGAGCAGGGAGGCTCGGAAGGGCTTTCGCTGCTGCCACTGCCGGCTCCAACCACGTAAACGTCCACGAGGTGGCTGATTCGGCCCGAAACGGAATTCCTGGTCCTGCCCCGAAAACCACCTCCCCACCAAACCTTACCCGGGGGCAACTCCACCTTTGCTGCTTAGGTCGGAACCCCAGTCACCCTCGGGTCTGCGCTTTCCCCACATCCCCTCAGCCCATCAGTGAGCTGCAGGCTTGACCACTGACACCCCGAGCCCTACCACCTCGGCCCTCCAACAGCCACCCTGCCTCAGCCACTCACGGCAGCCCCTCCCAAGGTTACCGTCACCACCTTGCTGGCCTTCCTGTCCTCGCCCTCAGCTCCCAGTCTGCCTCAGCATAGAAGCCTGAGAGATTCTCTTAAACCTGTGTCGCCCTGGCATGAACCTTCCCAGGCTCCCCTCCTAAGAGGAAGTCCTCACCTTGGCCTGCAGGGCCCACCTGATCCCTTATATGCTGTTTTTCTTTTTATTCCTTTTTTTTTTTTTAATTTATTGGAGCCAGCAGGTAACATAGCAGTTATGTCGCTGGACTCCCATGGCAGGCTGGTTCGAGTCCCAGACCCGGCTGGCTTGAAACTCACGCTGAGCATATGTGCATATGTGCCCCAAACCCCAAGAGGATAATGGAGAAGGGACAGTGGCATGGCCATCCCCGCTGGGAGATGATTTCTTGCTTTCTGTCTCTGTCTCTCTGCTGATGCATATGCCCTATAGCAAAAATCTATCTTTACAAAATTATTTTTAAGTTTGGTAGAGGGCATGTGTGTTCACTAGAGAGGAGAGGGGAAATGAGAAAGCAAGCCACCGGGTCAAACTGCGGTCGGCCACGTGGGGGTTCAGTGCCTTAACCACACCACCTGCTGGCCCCTCATCTGTCTAGCGCTCTCCCCTGGCTGAGCCCACTCCAGACACACCGTGCCTTTGCTCTTCCTTCATCATACCAAGCACACGCCTGCCCCAGGACCTTTGCACTTACAGCCCCCATTCCTCACACGTCTTCCTGGCTCATTCCTTCTTCCTTAGGTCTGGGCTCAGATGGGACCCTATCAGCGAGGCCTTCCCTGACCATCCCATGTGAGACAGCAACAAAGCTTCAGAACTCCTTAGACTCCTCCTCTTGGTTTATTTATCTACACGTTTATCAGAAGATCCATCTTCTGAACCCAACCTAGAATGTAAGCCCCACTGCTGCATCTCAGTGTTTAGAATAGCTCCTAGGTGGGGCCAGCGGGTGGCATGATTAAGGCACTGGACTTGCACGTGGCCAACCATGGTTTGAGTCGCAGACCCAGGTGCTTGAAAATCACACCAGGTACGTGTGTGCCTGCCCAACATTCCAAGAGGAGAATGGAGAAGAGGTTGTGGCATACCTCCCCCTTGGGGGGGGGGGGTGATTTCTTACTTTCTCTGGCAAACACATGCATCCTATTAAAAAAAAAAATAGCTCCCACATAGCTCATATTAAATAACTGCTGAGTGAAAGAATGAGTGAATGACACGCATACTGAAGCAAGAAGCAAGCAACTTTCCTGACCCATCTGCTCACTCCCCACCCCGCAGGTCTGCACACCACCACCCCCGCCTGGCCCAGAACTTCGATCCAGGCCCACACCCCCAGCTGCCCACCAGACGGTAGCCCTGGAGAGGCCCAAGTCGGCGCACCCCACACTCAACGCGTCATGCTTTCACGAGAGCCCCTGCTCCTCCTCCCGCGAGCTAACGGAACCTGGCGGGACACTGGCAGGAACCTCCAGCGGCTCCCGACCATCTGCAGGATGGAGCCCGAAGTCCCTGGTGGGAGCGTCGGCCACCAGTCTGGCCCCAGCACCGGCTCCGGGGGGGCCGGGTGGCCATACCTGGCCTGTGTGTGGATGTGGTCTCCACAGCACCTGCACGGGGCTGCCACAGAGCTGGTGCCAGGCGCGTGGGGCACACGGGGCCACACAATGCCTGGTAGGTTAAGGTGCGCTGAGGGCGGGCCGGCAGGTGGTGTAGTGAAGGTGCTGGACCCCCACACGCCGACCACAGTCTGAGTCCCAGACCCAGTGGCTTGAAATGCACTTCCGGCACGTGTGCATGCATGTCCAAAATCTCCAGGGGAGAATGGAGAAGGGATTGTGGTATGCTCATCTCCCCAGGGGGGGATTTCTCACTTTTTTGTCTGTCTCTTGGGCAAATGCACACAGCTTATAGCAAGAATCTCTCTTTTTTTTAAAAAAAAATTTTTTTATTCATTTATTTTAATTTGACCAGAGAGAGACACAGAGTGTTACCATGGCCGGCCACATGGGAGTGTCCAGCACCTTAACCACCATGTTACCTGCTGGTCCCATCAAAAATTTCTCTTAAAAACAAAACAAAAAAAAGAGCTGAGGGCCAGCTGGTGGTACGATGGTTAAGGCAGCTAGATCCCACATGGCCAGCCGCATGGTTCGAGTCCCGGACCTGGAGGGTTGAGAAATGCACTAGGCACATGTGCGTGTGTACCTAAAATCGTGAGAGGGAAGGGACTGCAACACAGCCACCCACAGGGGTGCCTTCTCACTTCCCTTCTCTCACCCTGTCTCTCCTTGGAAAGTGCGCACCTTATAGCAAATTACCAGGAGAGATGAGCCGTCTAGACTAGCTGGCTTTACAGGGGTGGTCCTTTCCGTCTCAGTGAGCCCGAACCCTCAGCAGAAGCAGGCAGGGGCAGGCAGACTCGGCCCAGCGTTGCCCAGCCCCACACAGAAGAGCCCCAGGCAGACCAGAGGGAGGGCCGCACAGGCAGGGCCACACTGCTGTGGCGCCCGAGTCCTGGCTCCCCGCAGAGGGCTCAGTCAGGCTTCCTGGAGGCCAGGGTTACTCAGCACGGCTGACACCCGCCACCGTACAAGCGGCGGTTTACGAAGCATGTTTCCGTTATGCCTCACCGGGGCTGCCCGCTGTGCCTGTGAGTGGGCAGGTGGGGAACCACTGGCGCCATTTCAGACAGGAAACCAGGGTTCTGAGAAGACAAGTTATTTGCTTCTGTGAGGCAGAGGCAAGGATTGAACCAAGTTTTTTTTTTTTTTTAAATATATTTTTACCTTGTTGCTGGAGAGAGGCAGAGACAGACAATGAGAGGGAAAGTGAGAAGCCCCCCCGGAAATGGCCATGCGACAGTCCTTTCTCCTCCGTTCTCCTCTCGGGGTTTAGAGCACACAAGCACAGGTGCCTGGCATGATTTTTAAGGGGCCAGCTCTGGGACTCGAACTGTGGTCAACTACGTGGAAGCCAACACCTTATAGCAGATTACCAGAGGAGATGAGCTGAGCTGCCCGGCTGCCGTAACCACCTGCGGGCCCAGCCCTGCGTGGTACCTGCGCCGCCAAATCCCACTCGGCTGGCCACATGGGAGTCCAGTGCCTCAACCACATGTCACTGTTGGTCCTACTTCTTTTTATTTTTATTTATTTATTTCAGAGGTTTTTCACTATAGTGCATGTGCGCTCGCCAGAGAGACAGAGAGGCACAAAGCGAGAAATCACCCCCCAGGGGGATGGCCACGCCACAATCCCTTCTCTTCCATTCTCCTCTCAGGATCTTGGGCACACACATGCGCCCGGCAGGAGTTTAAGCCACCAGGTCTGGGACACGAACCACGGTTGACTACGTGGGAGTCCAGCGACAGAGCCATTATGCTAACTGCTGGTCCCCCTAGTTCTTTTTAACTTTTTGAATAAAATATAAAATCTTTTCTGATTGAAATCTATTCTGATAAAGTTTGGGGTAAAATAAGTAAATGTAATCTTTGATACTATCTTAAGAGCCTGGTAGCTCAGCTTATTAAAACCCCAGAACTGGGAACCAGCAGTTAGCGTAATGGCTACGTCGCCGGACTCCCCACGTAGTCGACCGCCGGTTGCCTCCCGGACCACTCATGCCTGGCGCGTGTGCGTGTGTGCCCAAGATCCCGAGAGGAGAATGGAGGAAAAGGGATTGCAGCATAGCCATCCCCCCCTGGAGAGTAATTTCTCACTTTCTATCTCTCTGTCTCTCTCTGTCTGGCGAGCGCACAGTTACCCACGTAGTCAACCGCAGTTTGAGTCCTGGACCCACTGGCTTAAAACTCACGCTGGGTGCGTGTGAGTGCGTGCCCAAGATCCCAGGAGGAGAAGGGAGGAGGAGGGATTGAGGCATGGCCATCCCCCTGGAGGGTGATTTCTCACTTTCTGTTTCTGTCTCTCCAGCAAGTGCACAAAACCTATAGCAAAAATCTCTCAAAAACAAAATAATACAAAACAAAAACCAGACTTTTCACATCAGAGCCACACCTGCCATACCTTCAAGGGTCAGAGGCAGAGGGGCCTCAGGCCAGCCCTGAGGGTGGCGCCACACCCTCTGAGGGAGCCAGGCAGCCCTGCCCCGTCTGTCTCACCCGTGGGTACAGAGGTTATTGTCAGTTGTGGGTCCTGAGGGTCCCAGAGTCTTCCCCTCCCACGCCGGCCCCAAGTCCAGCACCGCAGTATGATAAAGGCCCTTTCCACTGCCAGGGGCTGAGGACACTCACCCCGCAGGGCTCTGCAAGCTCGTGCCAGGCTCCCGGGCTCCCTCGGCCAGACTGCCCTTGAACCAAGTTCTGACCTTAAATCCAGGCCTTCGGGTTACGTGGCCAGAGGGTGCTTTAGTGAAACGGAGGTTGGACGTTTATGGCCACGGAGTGACCAGAGAAACGGCGGACCCCGTAGGGAGCTGGTCTCACCCTGGTTGGTGGCAGAAGGGCAGGCTGGTGAGGCAGGGAGGGGAGACGAGGGTGACGGCGGCCTGGCGGTGACTGATACCTGGCCCTCGCTGTGCAGGGAGGTGGAGAACATTCCCACATCCGACTGCACTGAAAATCACGGCAGGCCGGCTGAGAAGCGAGACGGGCCTCAGTGCAGGCTGGTGGGGGTGCTGGCCGTGCCCTAGTCCCTGACCCGGCCAGCGGCTTACTTTCTTGCTTTCTCTCACTCCTCCTCTCTGTGGGGAGCGTGTGTGCGCTGTAGCAGCTTTTAAAAATATAATAAAAAATAAAATTATTAAAGAAGATGAAAGCCAACCCAATTTTTGTATTTTTAGATTTGTGCCACAGGGCATGTGAGCTCACTGGAGAGAGAAAGAGTGAAAGGGAAGAGAAATCACCACCTGGGGGGATGGCCATGCTGCAATCCCGTCTCTATTTTTCTAGACAATCCGATTAAAAAAAAAAAAAGGACAAAAGACTTAAACAAACATCGCACAGAGAGGCCGTCAGAGTCAGATGGCAAACGCCATGCAGGGAGGTGCTCAGCTCTGTTAGTCATCGGGGACACGGGCCACAAGCATGACGGAGCCCTACGCCACCACCCGCCAGAGCGACCATGGGCAGAGGTGGAAAATACCAGGTGGGGGCAGGCCTCGGAGCTCGAGGGTCGGCGCTCACGCTGCGGCCCAGCAGCGCCACTGCCGGGGGACGCCCAGCACTGAACGCACACCGTCCCAGCCGCGGGGTTAGGAGGAGCCACGCTGGCAACAGCAGACAGGACAGTGAGACCGTGGTCTGTCCCCGCACACAGCAGTGGGGACAGACGGGCTGCAGTCGTGCAGTGAGGAGGGCGACTCCCTAAGACAACCGCAAGCAGCAGAGGCCAGGTTCAAAGAGAACGTGGATGTGCAATTCAGAGGGCAAAACTAACCTTGGACATTAGCTAAGAGCGGCGGCCCTCGGGGGACTGGAAACGCTTCATTTATTGGTGTGGGAGCTGGCTACCTGGGCGGATTTACTTTCGAACATTTATTGACTTGTATATTATGGCTGTATACTTCAATTAAAAGGTAATATTAGAACAAACAGGTGATTTTTCACTTTTTCCTTCTCTGTCTCTGGCAAAGCACCAAAGCTTTGCCTTATGGCAAAAATCTTAAAAAAAAAAAAAAGTAATATTAAAACAAATAGAGGTCAGGGCAGCAGGTGTCCCGGTAGTTAAGGGGCTGGACTCCCACATGGCTGACAGTGGTTCGAGTACCGGACCTGGTGGCTTGAAAATCATGCTGGGCACGTGCGTGTGCCTGCCCAATATCCCAAGGGAACGGAGGAGAAGGGACTGTGGCATGGTCAACCCCGTGGGGGGTGATTTCTCACTTTCCCTCTGTCTCTCCAACAAGTGCAAGTGCCCTATGGCAAACACCTACAAGAATAAAACACTAAGAGTGGTCTCCGGGGCTCCTGCCCTTGCTAAGCCCCTATCTGTCTCAGTCCCTGTGGGATTCCCCGCAGAGACCACAGTTACCACGACACTCAGCCACCCCAGGGAATCTCCTCCAAACGTTCCAGTAAGAAGTCTCCTCATCATCTCCCCTGGTGTTTGGACAGGACCAGAAACTTTGGAGACCCAGAGACCCCTGGCTTTGGGAAGAGCCGTACCCCCCCATGTCCCCCCGCAACACACACACGTGGCTGGCTGAACTCGGACCCTGCATGGCCCAGGAAGGGGGCTCACTGCCTGCCGGGGCAGCTCCTACTCTCAAAAGCTGTTCCTCGCTCTGCTTCAAGTGACCCACTGCTAACTTACTGGCTCAGCTCTGTCTTCTAAACCTCCTTAGTACTTACCTAGTCCTTGAGAACAAAACAGGAAAAGGAAACACATTTACTTTCTGACCTGGCGTGTTTAAATATTAGTCTGTTTGCCTTTCAAAAACCAAAGCCACTTCAAACGCGACCATTAAAAGCACACATGGTAACCAAACTGAAGCCTCGGTTATGAGGTGAAGTTATTTTTACGGACGAATTCCCCCTAATACATTAGACAGCATCAGACGCAGCCAGCTCTACAAATTCTACTGAGGGGACATTCGGGCAAAGGTCCTGGAGGGATGAAACCATCAGAGGAGGATCTCTGTTTTTGCTATAAGGCACATGCACTTGCCAGAGACAGACAGATGAGGGGGTGCACTGGCCACGTCACGGTCCCTTCTGCTTCGTTCTCGGAGGATTTTGGACACACACACGTGCCTGGCAAGTTTTCCAGGCCACTGGGTCTGGGACTCAACCACACAGTTGCCCATATAAGATCCAGTCACCTTAACCACCTTGTAGTCCAGCCCTAGATAAGGGTATTGACAGCGAGATCTGGCTGTGGCCATCTGATAGGACCCATGGGGAAGAACTTGACGCCGTGCACACGTGGGTGGGCCATGACACGAGATGCACTGCACCTCCCAGGGAGTGGTGACCTTGGTCTTCCGAAACTCGTCCTCCACCTCTCCCCTCCAATGGAAGCTGAAGCCAAGAAAGCTGAACCTTCAGAGCAGCCTGAGGTTTGCCGGAAAGACAGGCAACAGAGAAGCAATGTAAGCCAAGCATGAGGAAGGGGCCAGAGATCCCGAACGTGCGGCGGTCCACAGAACCACACGCCACGCCACCGTGGAGAGCAGAGGGAGGTCTTACCACGGAGGGAACGTGGGTGCGCACTGAACACTCACAGGAGCTACTGAGTGCAGATTTTATTCAGTTAAAAAGAGCGGGATTGGGGCCAGCAGGTGGCACGGTGGTTAAGGGCGCTGGACTCCCACATGGCTGACGTGGTTCAAGTCCCAGACCTAGCAGCTTGCTTTCTCACTTTCCTCTTTTCTTCTCTCTCTCTCTTGCTCTCTCCCTCTCTGGCCAAACTGGAAAATAAAGTTAAATAATTATTTAAAAGAAAAGAAAAAAGGAGCGAGACTGGGCTAGCAAGTAGCCTAGTGTTCCAGGTACTGGGTACCATATGGCCAACTGTGCAGGTTCAACACTGGCTGGGAAATCTCACCAGGGAGGCGTCCCCACGTGTGCCCCAAATCCCGAGAATGGAGAAGGGGCTGCAGCACAGCCAACCCCTCTAGGGAGGGACTTCTCACTTTCCTTCTATCTGTCTCTAGTGAGCACACACACCCTGATGCAAAATTTTTTTAAAAAGTGCAAGACTTAAGACATCTATTATCGGAACGATAAAACTGTGATTCCAATAAACCAATCACAAAGGGATACTTTTTTTTTGGAGAGGCTTTTGCCTTAGGGCGCGTGCGCTTGCTAGACAGAGACAGACAGAGAGACAGAAAGCGAGAAATCACCCCTCAGGGGGGATGGCCATGCCGCAATCCCTTCTCCTGCATTCTCCTCTCGGGATCTTGGGCACGCACGCACGCACACGCGTCCGGCATGAGTTTAAGCCACCGGGTCCGGGACGCGAACTCCAGTTGACTACATGGGAGTCCAGCAACATAGCCATTACACTAACTGCTGGTCCCACAAGGGACACTTTTTGACAGGACAGTGGGGAGATGCGTCTGAGGCCTGGTATGACGTATGTGAAAAGAAGGAACTGAGCTTCCTTCGCAGCCTGAAAGGTAACGTCCACTGTTTTCAGAGCCAGACTTGCGCAACTCAGATCACATGACACCTGGGACACACCTTACCAGTTACAGATGTTTATCAAGTGTCATCGTGTTTGCAACTTCCTCTCAAACGCATCCATAAAATACAGAGAGACAGAAGCGTACATGGCACACGCAGTGAAGGTCTGGTTAATTCAGAAGAAAATGGGTCTTGCTGTACTAGTCTTTATGCTTTTCTGTAGATTTGAACTTCTTCCCTCATAAAGAGTTGAGAAAAAGACTTCAACAAAGAAAAGGAAGAAGGGGAGGCAGGGAGAGAGGACAGGAGGGACGGGAGGGAGGTGGCAGGTAGGAGGGGTGCGGCAGGTGGGTGGGAGGGGGGCCTCAGCAGCATCAAGCGAGGTGAGCTTTGGACAGGGCTGGAGCCTGGCGTGCGCGCGGTCCACTGCAGCGCTCTGGTTCTGAGCAGGCCTGGCCTGGCTCCGTGCCCGCTGATCCCTGCGCTCATGAGCATGACACCTGCTGGCCCCGGCGAGCACCCCGCTGCGTCCCACGGCCGCCGGAGAAGCGCCAGCTCCTGCTCTTCTGCATGTGCGAGACAGCTCTGGGCGCAGTGGCACTCCTGCCTCACGCAGACAAGTCAAGAAGCCCAGAGCCGGGCACACCAGCTGCATTCCCGAGCCCGCCTAAGCCCCACACCGTGTGGTCAGAGTGCCCCGAAACGTCACCCCGTCCTCACTAACGTGGCGGTTTCTGGCTTGAGCACCCAACCCAGCACGTTGCTGCCTCCGCTCGGCTCTGGCCTCGGTCCAGCATCACCCAGCGCTCACCTGCCTGTGGAACAAGCCAGCTCTGCCGTCAGGACACCTCTCCTGCAGCCCCTGTCCTCGCCCTAAGGCCACGTCTGCCTTCCTGAAGCTTACAGCTCCCCAGGGACTACGGCTGCTTCCTACCCGAAAACCACTCCCCACCCAAATTCCTCAGTCGGCCATTCTGGCTCCATTCTTCCTGGCTTTGACCCCTTAGGAAAATGATCTCCGAGCCTCACTCTTCTCCCCTGTAAATGGGACCAGTAATAGCATCTACTCCAACTGAGACAACGTCCAGAAACCTCACTTAGGTTAAGGGTGAGCGCGGCGCCCGGCACAGAGCAGGGGCCGAAGAGTTCTGCGCCACGTTCTGGCCTCCCCTACTCCAGCCTCCCAGCCAGCCATCCGCCCACAGAGCCAGCCTGCCGGCCCTCATCTCCCTGGCGGGCAGGCTGGTTGGAGTCTGCACCCCAGCTGGCCCTGGCAGCCTCCCCATCCCACCCTGCCCCGACTTGCCCCCTGGGAGTGCAGGTATTCCACGGTCTTGCTGATGGTGTGCAGCACGAAGCTGGCCTCCCGCTCCGAGAAGAACTTCTGCCGTAGGATCTTGTCCAGCAGCTCCCCGCCCCGCATCAGCTCCGTCACCAGGTACACGTGTTTGCCGTCATCGTACACCTGCCAGAGCCCCATCGGGCCTCGGTCACCAGCTCCCGGCCCAGGAAGAACACCCTGAGCCTCAGCCACGTGCTCTGCTCCCGGCAGGGCCTTTACCTAACTGGGCCTCTGTCCCCTTGGACAGGGGGAGGCAGGTCCTGGTCCGCTGGTGAATGGGAAAGCTCTGAGAACGTCCAGACCTCAGAGACCAAGGGCCCCGCCCACCATGAGCACGGGGAGGAGGGTGAGACGTGAGGAGCGCAGAGCGCCAGCCCCCAGCCCAGGCCCGGGCCCCCGCTCACATCTTTCAGAGTGATGACGTTGGGGTGCTGCCCGTACCGCAGGAGAATCTCGATCTCCTCCGAGGGGTCCCGCTTGCTCTTGTCGATGACCTGAAGAAAGGGGGTGCGCGTGGCAGTGTCGGGGGACAGACTCCAGGGCCCCTCCTGCCAGAGCCTGCACTGCACCTCCCACCACTCAGAGCCCCTGGCACCAACTCTCCCCCTGGAGGGGCCGGGCCATGGCTCCCGCGGCCTCACCCGCAACCCGCGGCACTGCCAGACACGGCCGGGAGGCCCACCTTGACAGCGTACTCCGTGTTGGTGGCCTTGTGGACACAGCGCTTGCACACCGAGTAGGAGCCCACGCCGATGGTCTCCTTTACCACGTAGCCATCGCTGAACACCACGTTCTTCCCATGGAGTTGCTGGAGCAGACCAAGAGGGCGGCTGATTCTGGCTCCAGAGAGCCAGGAGGCCTGGCCGGGCCGTGCGACCAGGCGAGAACCTGCCTCTCTGGGCTTCGGTTCGCTTTCCTGTACAAGGGGCACGCTCACTTGCTCCCGGGCTGCAGTCTGTGGCCACGGGGTGGTGGAGGGGATGGGCAGAACCGTGACTCATGCACTGAGGCTGGTGGCTCTGAGAAGTCTGGGCTGGCCCAGAGCAGGAGGCAGGAGCGCCCCCGCTGGGTCCCAGCTCGGCCACCACTGGCTCTGGGCCAGCGGCCTCCCCTTCCTGGGACACCCCCACTAGGGGCTGCGAGGTTCTGGGACGTGAACAGCAGCACATGCTCAGGCCGCTGCGGGTGTGCCTGCACCAGTCCCAGTGCTGGCAGGTGACACGGCCGTGGACAGCCTGCCTGTGCCTGTGGTCTGACTGGACAGTTCGGATAAGTGCCACAGTCACCTCCACCTCACACACGCCGACGCTGTCATCCTCGTGACACTGTGTGAGGTAGGTTCTACCACCACCCCCGCTCACAGCTGAGGACGCAGGCTCCAGGAGGGCGGCCTCCTCTGCAGGACCTGACCTGGCAGGCTCTGGCTCTGGCTCCGTGTCCCTGCCTCT